CAACAAACTTTGTCTTCAAAATAAGGGTGCATCTTATACACCGGAAAATACGGTATATACATACATGTACACTTGTATATTTAGTACTCAATATGCATTTATTTTACAAATTGAATTATTTGACATCTAAAAATCAGTTTTTTTTTTAAGATTTATACACACAGCTGTTTAGTCGAAAGAATGGTATTTCGATGTTTCAGTTTTTAAATATTTTGTAGTTTTTATGCTTGTTTCACACAATTGTAATACTAACAAGAAACATGATGTAAATTTAGGCTACTACATAATCTAAAGCATTGCAGTTTATCTTAAATAAAAGTACTTGGGATTTATTTATTTCAGTTAGAAAATGTAGAAAAATATATAAAACACTACCTATTTACAGAAAACAGTTTTGTTATACCATATTTACAAATATCTTATTTGATTGATCATTTTGGTTTTTTTGTTAAGATATTTTGTGGATTCTCTTTAAGTAGATTACAGTTGGTTATTTAAACAAAAAATTGTTACTTTCAGACACAATGTCTGGAATTGCCATTGCTCGATTGGCAGAGGAGAGAAAAGCCTGGAGGAAAGACCATCCTTTTGTAAGTTAATATCATAAATTTCAAATGATTATCAACTCTAATTAAATATCAGAAGAAACAAAATGTTAAAGATATCAGTGCTCCAGATAATTATTTTCTGTAAGTAGTAGTCACTCTGTGAGCAGGATTAATTTTAAATTGTTTTACAAAGTACAGCAGTAACATTTTGTAATAAAAAGTAATTTAACTAATTACGAATTATTTTATTTCAAAAGGTGAAATAGGGCACAGGACTAATTTAGCCAATTAAATCACCAGATAATAAACACAAATAATGAGAACTTTTTATATTTTTACACAAAACTGGATAATTCACAAGTGCACCAATAGAAACTTCTGGTAGTTAGAGAGTACTTATTTTCACAGCTCTACTGTGCGAACTGTACAGATCTTGTGCAGAACTGCAGAAAGCTACAAGAATGCACCCAGTTACTCTACTACTGTTAAAGTGGCAGAAGCTATAATAATTTTTCTGTGACAGAAAAACAACTTAGTATTTTTTAAGGCCGTAAATGGATGATTTTTTGGACAGGAATTATGCATTTACGCCCCTTATCTGGAGACAGAGATACTGAACTAACATTGTCTAGTTTCTATTAATTACTTACATACTACATATTATGATTCAGGCTGTGAAATCAAAGTAGAAATTGTTGTAAAAAAAAAGTAATACTCCAGAGTATAGAATAATTTTTTTAAATATCGTTAGTCTTATTACAAAAATGAACCAAATAAGACGTAAAAAGGAGGTGATGATAAAATAATATTGTATTATATTTACTTGTGATAAAATAGTTTTTCCTAAATTATTAAAACACTCTATCCCAAACCATGTGGTAATTTTTTTATGAATTCTTAAACATAAACAGGTCTTTTTTTTTATGTGTTAAGGATTTCTTTTTCACCAGGGATGAAATTTAAAAAGAATCTATGATGTAGAGTCCTAATGCATTCTTTGATTGACTGTACCCTCTGCTGTGGACTGTAGTTTTGCCTATTCAAGGCTTATCAGTACAGCTTGGGTTAGCAAACCAAAGAAATTACCATTAGGCCTGTTTTTAGGTGAAGTGAAATGGACCATCAAGAGACAAATATTGGAGGTCAGCTTATAAATTTAACAATTTGATTTTAGTGTTCAGCACTGTGTTTTTAAATATATTTTTTTTTCGGTAAAAAATATAAAATGTTATTTAATAAATAAATATAAAACTTAATTATCAGCAATTTCTGATCAAAACAAATTAACTACTTAGATGTGAACTAAAAAATGTAAGAATTAATGTGGCTAACTTTATGTAATAGAGTAAGAGTTAAAACAACTCATAAGAAAACAGATTTGTAAGGATTAAAAGTCATTGACTCATCAGTAACTTATATAAATATACATTCTAGTAAACTTGAGATTATAACTTTTTAGGGTTTTGTAGCAAGGCCAACAAAAAATCCTGATGGGACCTTGAACCTCATGAACTGGGAATGTGCAATTCCAGGGAAAAAGGGGGTAAAAGTTTTTTTTAATCTAAATTTAAAATGTTTTAATTTGAATAAAAACTGAATAGTTAAGTACTTTAAATTTTTTAAGTTTAACTATTGTGTAGGTGGAATTTGGCATTATTTCCTATCTTACTAAGATTTGTTCCTATGTAGAGATACAATTCCTACCAGAAGTTCTGTAAATTTTTTATTAGTCATGTATAAATTAAATTATAAACTTAAGACAGTATAAAAAGTTACATATGAAATATGTTGAATATTTAAGTTGCCAAGGAAGCTTAACAAGTAATACATATTTTTAGGAATAAGAATTTGTTTTCTTTACATTCTATACTTAGGCCTTAGTATGTACATTTTCAAGGTATTTGTTTTCAATTATGATCTTATCCTTAGAGGATTTTTTTAATTTCCAGACTATGTCTTGATTCATTAAATCCACTTGTAGAGAAACTATTAACATAAGGCAAACGATAAAGTGATAAGTGTAATTTTTGTTTAATATTACATATGTTTAAAAAGGCTTGTGACTGTAATAACCTAAGGTTATTGTAATGTTTTCTAGACTCCATGGGAGGGCGGTTTATACAAACTAAGAATGATCTTCAAAGATGATTATCCTTCAACACCACCAAAGTGTAAGTTGCAAATATTCCACCAACTACAAGAAATGTATAGTAAGCCATTACTTCAAGGACTGACAACCATAGTTGATAATAAATATTTGTTGTAATGAAGATATTTTATCTTCCTACAGTGTGGGTAATTTTAAATCTTAAGTGCTATTATAAGTTATGACTGTGTACACTAAAACCACATGAATAGGTAATGCCATTACACATGACCCCCTCACTGCACCAATATTTTCCCTTTTTATCCACGTATTGGCCAAACTTGTATCATAGTCATAACTTATGTAGCCAAGCATTTGGTCACACAACTTTATAAGCGTTCACGTTTCCACTTCCATAAACAATGTGATATCTATGGTTGTCCAATGGTTTAGCAATAAAATGCACACAAATATAGATCGAAAGTGGGGTATCATTCGTGCTTAATAAAACAATGCAGGTTCAAGTAAATTGTATTTTTTGTAAGAAATGTTAAGATAATTACATGAGTAGAATTTTCTAATTTTGTTACACAAATTAAGTATTGTACTATTGTAAGCTTACTCTTGTAAATTGACACATCTTTTTTTCTAACTCTATTGCCAAAATGCCAAATCCCTCCAGCATGCATTATAAATTCTGAAAAACAACAAAGTTTAATTAGGTTTAGTCGCTTTCAGCTTGATTATGATGTTGAAGTTCATCATTATGTGTTGTATCTACATCTACATATCTGTTACTACAGGTAAGATGTTAGGGCAGTTTTGATTATTGATTTATGAAACAAGCTTATTCCATGCTAGTGTAAGGTAAGCCTATCTGTCAAACTGCACACGTGTGTGATTACTAATAACACAACTGTATGTGTCAAAAGTGATCATTTGACTAAAGAAAATTGTCTATTCTATTGATTTTAAGGTATGTCTCAACAGAAGCAATTAACTTCAATTCATGATTAAACAGTTACAGTTTGAAATTATTTTGATAGTTTTTAAAAATAATTATGTGATAGTGCGATAGAGATGAAGCTTTTGTTTTCAAAAAGCAACAATTGGGCAGTGTTGTGCTTACAAAAATATAGTGTAATTTAAGCTAAATGAGCTTCAAGACTAATAACAAAGAGTTACATTGTGTCTTTAATGTGGTCAGTTATTTAGGTTATATAAAAAACTAACCATTTGCTTTTCTCAATCAAAAGTGGTCTAAGATTTAAAACAAGTGATTTTTTTACTATTTTACTCAAATTTTTTTTTTAACAAAAAAATTTGTAATAGCCGTGATTTTATTAAATTATGATTGATATTTTAATCTTCCTATAATTGGTGTAACACATTTTCAGTTATAAGAAGCACATTTGTTTTAGCTATGACTGCTGATCAAATAAAGAATATTATGAAAAACAACACACATTATTTCATTGGAAGTTAACATTTTGAAGAATCCTCACCAATTGGTGTTCCTTCCAGTACAGAATAAGTATTTGAATTATAAGATAAAAAAATGGACATTAGCATTTTGAGAATTATAACTAAAACAATAGGTAAAACTTACATTAAAAAATACACGTAACAAGAAGTCAAAAGTTCTAGAAGTTTAGCAAATTCAAATAATGTTAAAGTTGGAGCTTAAAGTATATGTTGAAATTTTGAAATTTTTTAGTAAAGCTTTTTATAAACAAATATCAAATAAAAAATTTTATTTTTTAACTTGTTTTAATTGTTGATATTTCTAAAGCATACTTACCTCATCCCATACTACAGCTATTACTCGACTGCTAGGGCTTCCTTTTTTGCCCATCTAAGCATTGGTCTGAATTTTGTCTCGTTTGCTCCAGTCTTTAATTGCTCTTGATGATATCTGTCATGTGACACTCTATACCTATGTCAATGTGCCCTCTATTCTGATACTGTATATAAGCACCTCATTCAGGTAATAATATGACATTTTCTCGACAAAGTGGTCACTATTGGGTTTCTCTGTACTATGACTGTTGGAGATCCTTTGAGCATTCTTCATGTTACCTAGTTGATTTTTGTAAAGAAAAAAAGCTGATATATGGCATGAATTCTGATATCTTGCATCGCTCAACAATCAGGGATTGGGAGGAGTGACTCTCAGTTGAGCCTGTCAGTGACCTTATTCGTAGTGAGATGGAGACATATATTTGGTCCAGCGATGTTTCTCCAGGGGGCTCTAAGACTGGATTTGAGGGTGATCCTGGACATTTTGGAGAGAGTTTCCATTGGCTTTTTCCAGCACCTTCCTTTATTTTGTTGGCTTTTGAGAGGCCACTTTGGGATCAGTTGCCTCCGGCTGCTTTTCTTCAGTTGTTCCATCAAGTGTATGATGTTTTGGGTCTTTCCCTAGTTGCTTTAGAGCCTACAACTTCCTTGATGGCTGAAAGGTCTGTGAGCAATTACATAGTTTTCCCTCCATTCACTGATATTGTGGTTCATGCAGGGAGGTTTACTGCTCAGTTACATGAAGGGACAGCTATTATTTGTCCTCCTATTCTTTTTGTTGGAATTGCATAATTTAGCCTACTACTTCCAGGTAGATGTGTATTCAGACTCTAAAAAAATACACCAGCTCCTGGACATTTTAGGTTCTAGAACAGAGTCTTTAGTCAACTTGAATAGATCACAACTTTCTAGGATTTGTCTACTCTATCTGCAGTACTAAGATATTTATTATCCCACCAACTTTGGTTTGAAGACCCTCAGGAACACCTTGTCAATTTGATAATGAGTTGGGACCATTGTTAGCATGTACATTTGTCATCTTCTGCATTAATACCTGTCGTCGTTGGCATCTTGACTTTTGTCAGCTACTACAGAAGGTCATGGTTCAGCCCATATTAGAGGGTCCCAACCCACAACATCAGCTTTTCGGTCCATTGGTACCCAGAATAGATACTGTCCTTATCTACAAGGTTCCTCCGCTCAATAGGAACAACACCACTGGCAGTGGTGACTGTTGCATGCCTTTGGGGTCTGTGCGGGCTTGGCTTCAAGAATTTCTAGATGTGTGGAAAACCTTAACTACAGATCCATGGGCACTACAGGTCCTTGAGTCAGGATTAGTTTTTCAGTTGACATATTCACCACCATTATCTACCCAACTATTGTGTTTTCACCTTCTGCAGATATTCGGATTTTAGAACTTTGTTCTAGAGCTATCAGAGTTTTTGTTGGTCTAGAAGGCCGTGAAGAGAGTTGTCCCAGTTTTTCCAGGGTTTGTTGTACCCAAGGAGATAGGAGATTGGAGTCCATTCATCAATCTTTCTCATCTGTATCAATTTCTAGATCCTCCAAGGTTCACAATGGAGTCATTCCTCACTCTGCATTGGCATTTTTATTACTAGGATTTTGGACATCCAAATTCAATGTCGTCAACTCCGATCTGCACATTTCCATAGTGGCTGTGTCCTGCCGCTATCTGTATTTTGTGCACAAGGGTCAGGTGCTGCAGTTCAGCACTCTGCCCTTCAGCCTAGCATCAGCACTATATTTGTTCTGCTGAATCATACGAGTTTTTCTCATCACCTCTTTTTTCCAAGGCCTGTGCACACATCATTCCATGGATGACTGGTTACTTCTGGCACCATCTCATCAGTTGGTGGAACATCACACCTCTCCTTCTCCCACTGCACGGATGGTTCTTTCTCTTTTGGAGATGTCGACATCACTCAAATTACTCATTCCTTTGGGATGAGAACACAAAAGATTTCTTCAGATGTCATTATGCAACCAATGGATCTGGAATGGTGATTCACTGGATTCCCCAGTTTCCTTATTCAGGATTATTATCTTCAATCTCGAGTGGTGGTTAGATTGAAACAATACTACGATATGTGTTCCTCTTTTGCCACCTCATCCAGAGATCCTTCACTTCAGGGATGGGGTGCATATCTCAATGGTCAGGAATTCCAGGGTCTGTGCACAGACAACAAGGCTTTTCTAAACAATGTTTTAGAACTTCTTGCTGTTCAGAGGTTAATGTTTCTGGATATGGGCTTATTAAGGGGAAAATCATCAAGCTTCACTTCAACAATTCCATGGTGATGTCTTACATTTCCCTTCAAGGAGGCACTTGGTCCAGGGCTCTTTGTTTTCGAACCTTCGATCTTCTTTCTTGGGACCACTCCTATAATATCACCCTACTAGCTTGACATGTTCCAGGGGTGATAAATTCAGTGATAGATCAATTGTCTCAACCCAAACAGATTCTATGGACAGAATGGGTGGTACATCACAAGGTTTTCTGTTGTATTGGTCCTCATTTCAAAACACTTATGATTGGTGTTTTGGCCACTCATTGGAACACTCAACTATTGCCATTGGCAATAGATGCATTCGATTAGGACGTCATGGCATTACACTTGTAGGCCTTCCTACCAATTTGTATGTTACCAAAGGTACTAGCTATGATTCATTCCAACCCATTATAGGGTCCTGTTGTTAGCACCGGTTTGGCAGCTGAACCTTGTTTTTCACTTCTGTGGTACCTTCAGGAGTGCACACCTCTACCATTTCCTCTTTGGCCATCTCTGTTGAGGCAGCCATGATCTGACATTGTACACCCAGCCATCCTTTGCATGGAATCTGGGTTTAATTTCTAAGGTTGTCATGTATCTGTCTCATTCTTTACTTGATCCCACATTGGACATTTATCAAAAGAAATGGCACACGTATCAGCAATGGTGTATTGAGAGGATGTTGAACCCACTTTGACCAGAAGTGACAACCATAACTTTTTTGTTTTGTTTTTGACAAGGTTTTAGCATCTTTCACAATCGTCTTCTATAAAATGACCTTATCAACTACCTTTAGATAGTCGAGATGAAAATAATTTGAGTCCCCAGTGCTCTCTGGCTTACTGATGTTGTTTCAGGTATTTTGTCCCAAACAAACGTTTCATTTACCTAACTGGTATATTAAGGTGGTATTACATGCCCTTTCTCAACATCCATTTGAGACCTTAGTCTCATGTACCACCTTTCTTGGAAGGTTTAATGTTTGTTGTTGCTGGCCTACAGACATCACAGGTCAGAATTGATTGCTTTATCATTCTATCTACATCCTCAGACAGGTTCTTCTTTTATAAGACACTAGCAGCCAGGGAAGGGGATAAATCCTTTTCACCGATTCATCTGACAGCTATTTCTCACTTCTATGACTGATCGGATCTCGATCATTTGTTATGTTGAGTGATGGTTTTGAAGTGTTATGTTGCTTGCACTAATGTCTTTAGAGGTGCTAGACAATGACATTTTGATTCCTTGGGATGCTTCAGTTTCCCAGGACTTCACAGTTATTTTGTTGAGGTGGGTATGGAAATTGACCCATATTGCTTATTCTAGGCTCTGTTTGGAGGTAAGGATTCTTCTGCAAGTCATGTTTCTTCAGATTCATTACATTTCTATGTACTTAATGGTCCGGTTGAATTGTGCTGGTATGTGGACCTCACCAAATATTTTTATCTCACATTACTTGCATGATCTGGCAGTATCTTCTTTGAGTGTTTTTGACTATTCCCAGTAGCTATCTTAACTCCACTAGATTATAAGGAGGTGTGAGTATCTTCATTACTATTATTGTATCTTCTTTATTTCCAGGATCCCACCCTGTGGCAAGTATGCTTTTATCAAACCAATTTTGCACTAGCAAGCACTAACACAATATACTTTATCTAGGTTACAACAGGCTCTGTAGAAATGGGGTGTTTCATAAGATCAACTAGAGGCAGGCTAGGTGGTATTAGTGTACTAAGCTGGACCACCACTCATGGACTTTCATGAATAAAGCTTAAGGAGATCCTGCCTGTCCCTGCCGATCATTAGGTTGAATAAGTCGGGGTTAGTTTGCTTTTAAAAATTTAGAGAACTTGGTTCACCTATTGCACTCTTTCCAGAGCACTGTTCCTTGGGACTCCCCAATGTGCATTACCCCCTCATTTCCTACTAGTGGAGCTAGGGAGTTCTTACCATGCCTGGTTTACAGTCACTGTGATGGTGGACAGAGGCTATTCCTCCAGAGTATCAAGTGACTTTCCTTCACTCCTCAAGAAAAGGGCAAAGTTGGGCACCCTCTTACCCAGGTCTCTGGATGTCTTTTCTTTTCCAGATGTTGGTAGGAGAGGTGGGAGCGTACTTGTAATACCAGTTCAGATTTGGCGCTCTGCTATCTAATTAAGTTGAGCATGGCCATTGTGTCCTCATAATTCCAAATGCAGAGTAGTCCCATCCTGGGTCCTTGGTTGAGTACAGCTTGTTCCATGTCCTCCCCATTATTTCACGGGCAAGTGGAATTTACCTTGTCCACACAGTTTGGGGGTGAGGATGAGTGTTCATGAATGACTCCAGATTGGATGAGTTCTGTTTCTTCAGGTTGAGTATGACATACAAGATTCCATCTTTCTATGTTTGGAGTGTTGCCTTTCAGACTTCTTCAGGTTGAGGAGAGAGTTTGTCCACTTTGGTGTTGCTTACCTTCTCGTTGTGCTTCTGGTGGCTTGGAATGCATTACTCTATAGCTGCAGGTTGGGATCCACTCACAGATGTATATATATATATATACATTTTGTGTTTCAAATGCCCTAGCCACCAACATGGGATTTATAAACCATGGCTCTATAATTCTAACCCAGAGCAGTGGGACTTTGGCTATCTGTTTGGGGCTTGGCCTATGGTGATGATGGATCACATCATATTCCACCTAGTTGGCACGTTTTAGGTTCTGGGTGAAGAGCATACCTGTTCTGGATGTAGTGTGGTTCCCCCACTAGGGTGCTAAGCTTCTATTGGCACACTCATGATCTATGCAGACTCCTTTTGTATGGATAATGCCCTCACCAGCCCCTCTACATTATCAATGTGGGTTTCTAGCTGTAGTGTAAACGGAGGTAAGTATGTTTTAGAAGTTAACATTTTCTTAAATTGAAAATGTATTTCCAATAATACTTACCTCTCCTCACACTCTCCTGCCCTTATTCCCCACTAAGAGCTGGTGTTAGAGACTGTAGATTGGGTCAGTCTCGAAAAAGTTGTAATATGGTCGGAAGAAGGTGCCTATATACAGTACCAGAATAGAGGGCACATTGACGTAGATGGAGTGTGTCATGTGACAGATATCACCAAAGTAAATTAAGTAGGGAGTAAAAGATTAGAGCAAGCGAGAAAAATTCAGACCAATGGTTAGATGGGCAAAGGAAGGAAATCCTATTAGTCAAGTAGTAGCTGTAGTGTGATAGGAGGTTAGTATTATTTGAAATAAATTTTCGATTTAAGAAAATGTTAACTTTTAACAGTGGCAACTTTAACCAGACTATTTTTCTGATTATTTGATGCCTAACTTTTGAAAGTTGAAGATTATAAATGGGGTATTGATGAATTGAATAGGACTTGGTGATTGAATACTGAATAAGAATACAAATAATTTAACTTTTTTAATGGAATAAAGTTTAATTGGTTGACTTAGTAAACCACTGTATAGACAGGGGATTTGCAAGTGAAATTTAAATACATTTTTGGATAGTTGTAAATTTGTTTTTAAACAACATTTACATATGTATTTTAGACAAATATCACATATACTATCCACCTCTTCCTCTATTTTGTACAGGTAAATTTGAACCACCACTGTTCCATCCTAACGTGTACCCTTCAGGAACAGTCTGTCTCTCTCTATTGGATGAAGAAAAAGACTGGAGACCTGCTATAACAATCAAACAGGTAATATTGAATGAACACAAGAAAGTATTGCCAAGTTTGAAACATGCTTTTTTTTTTCATAGTTGTGCTATAAGTAAATTAATTGGAGAAAGTTATAGGTCCAAAAATAGTGGGAAAACTTTCAACTTTATTGGTGATAGCCATTCAATTATTCAACTTAATATTCTTTAGCATTCATTTGTGGCCACACCTATGTCATAACTAGCAGATTTTTCTAGAATAGTCAGTCCAACATTTGTTCTGTCTAGAACATATTAACTGAGACTTGCACTTGTAGAAAATTAGTAAAAATTACAGCTTTGTGCTTAACTACAAACAAATTCAATTTTTGTTTTATTACAGGCACTTTTTAATTTGTATTAGCATTTTAAATTATAGTATTTTACAACTCAACAAGCACCAGTATTTTAAAATTTCATATGATCTGCTTTAAAATTATAATGTTTTTGTTTTTTTATATAAAGAAATTAAAAGTGCAACATTTTAGCCAATAGATGGCCATTTTCATGCATTCACTGCCTTAAAATGGGCAAAGCATTTCCACTCTAAGACTGACCATGATATTAAATTTAACTACCCTTTTAACTTTTATGCCTGTGTGGATACAGTTCAGCCCTACTTCAGAGTTAAAATTTATGTATTTTATTTTAGACATGAACATTAAAAAATCACAAGTTTTAATTTTTGTGTTGTATTCTGCAAGTTCCCAACAAAATTGTTAATATTTGTGAATTTCCTGAATGTTTTCTGGGCTTAGTATAGTACTCTTAACTCATATACTTTTGAGCATTATTATTAACGTGTCCTTGTAACTTGAATAAATTTGTAGTTTCATTGATTTTTAATCAACCACTGTTTCTTAACGTTGGTTGTAGTGGTATGATATAATTGACTATATCTCAGCTTCAAGAAGTCTTAGGCCACATCAATAAAGCAATTTTTCCTTTTTTTTTCACTTTTGTGTGGAGTTGTGTAGAGATAAGAACAAAGTGATAAAACTAAGATTGGTGGTGTGTTGCTAGAATTAAAGATGTTTGTGAACAATTTCCACTACAATTACAGTCCTGATTGATTAAATCTCAGAATCTTTTTACACTGGAGTGTATCAAGTTTTGTTTTTCCCATTATGATAGACCTTGTTTGCATTAGATCATATTGACCTAAGTAACTGCCTGAACGGGTAAAGAAAGGCACTGAAAATAAATGTATAAATGGGTTTAAAACTTATTACATATTTTAAATGAAACTTTCTGATTAAAAGTTTTAAAAAATGTTGGTTTGCTTACAGTACGGTAAAAAAGATAAATTTTTTTTGTACATGCATTAAAACTGCACTCATTGTTTATTGAATCGAAACAAAGACAGCAGTTACAGTTTTATGAAATAAAAACTTTGTAACTAAGTTTTAAAAGAATGTAGTAAGATATAAAGATCAGTACTTAAAATCTACAACAAAAGTGAAAACTTTTTTATTGTTTCTTAATGATGTCTTTCCAAGTTTCAAAGCTACAATTTCATAAAGATATCAAATGTAAAAATAAGAAACATTATTAACAGAATCTACATAATCTCTAGGAAGTAATTCTGAAGTTTCAGTTTGTAACATCCATTAGTTTTTTCTTTTTGCAATGCAATAATACAACCATATAACAGGTGCACAGAATTGACACACCTGAGTCTCGTAGAGTTAAACTAAAATATTAGTATTATTTGTAAATACTTCAGGATACAATAAAAGGTTTCACATTGTTAGTTAACAATGAATTGATAAATTTTATTGTTTTATAAACAAATGAATAAGCATTATTAGGAAACAATAAATGTTTTAATATAAATTGGTTGATAACTATTGCCAACATGATTGTTTTTATTCAAAAGACAGATAAACAATGGTCAGTTTTGAAATAAATATGGTAATTTGTTTGTTTATCATTTTATAATAGTAAGATGCAGGGTTTGTTCCGTACAACGGACACAGCACAGATAGTCCATTTTGCAGCTTTGTGCTAAAACAAGAAATGAAAACAGAACTTTCTTAGTTATCACTGGAACATCCTCAAAATTTAATGTAAAAATTAATACTTGAAATTGAAGTCAAATGTCAAAAGATGTAGTTAGAAAAAAGTAATGCCAGTGTGAATAATAATTACTTTGGAATGTTTAGCAAGTAAAATTACTTCAGGTAACTTATAACACAAAGAACAGCTTTTAATGAGGGACTGAAATGGATTTATTAATGCTGTACCACTACATTTTGTATCCAAGACATTTTCAAGTGTAGCTCGTAAAGAATACATTGACAATGTTAGTTAAAAAGAGCTATCCAACATTGCCTAAAGGATAAGATTATTCAACTAGTAGAATTATGGGTGGGGAGGAACCTGGATATGCGTACACTGTTGGTTGCAGTTGTTTGGTTAATCTTTAATTTTTCTCATATTTGTTTTGTTTCCTTTTAGAATCTTAGCCTTGCAACTTGATGTTGACAAAACTATCATGAAATACTAACTACTAATATTAGTTCCACTGTGGGAGCAATAGTAGACATGAGGGGGGGGGGGGTGTAACTAGCAACCCCCAATAATTTCGATACACAATAAAAAAAATGGGGGATCTGTTTTTAAAGGATACAATGCTCATTTAATATTGAAAAATGAAATTTTGCTTAAAACACGAACTCTTCAGAATATAATGTTATATGGAATAAACCACCCTTTGGATCTTGCATCTCCAGCAATTTCAAATGTGTCTGCCATTTTTAGGACAACAAAAGTAATTTTCTCATCAAAGTATGAGATAACCTCAGTGACAAACACGACGTAGGAATGATAATGAAATTCATTAAAAAATCCAGAATTATAAATAGAAGATTTACTAGATAAACCTTACAACAACAGAAAATACATTACTGAATCATTATATCAAACTCAGTATAGTAACAATCAGTCAACTTATGTAGAAGATAGAAGTAGAACTGTGAAAAAAACTACATAATTCTGAACATATTAAAAATTCTCTCCTATGTTTATGAACTTAAAAAAAAAAAAAAGGCAACTATAGCAACAATCTGGAAGACACTAAGATTCTAAACAGCAAAAAAAGATGCACACAAGAGAAAGATGAAAGAAACATGTTAATCAATGGTAAATGTGTATCCAGTTTTCTTTGGACTTGTATTAATGTTGGATAGGTATTTGTAACAAGATGTTTTTTTTACACTTGAAAATGTCTTGAGTAGAGATAAAAATGTTTTGGTATTATGTTGACAAATCATTTTTTTGAGTTTCCTGTTTAAAAGTATTGTAGGTAGCAATAGTGCAACATTGTACATATGTTACACACAAAGTTGTACATGGTTGGAAAAGATGGCACATTCGTATCTTAACTGGTCATAATAGCAGAAATTCTTATACTTCGCATAATAAACTCATTGTAAATTAAATTTCTTTGTTTTCTCTCTGTTTTTCTTATATATCTGATGACAGTCAAAGGCTAGCTAGAACTATAAACAGGTCATCTGAATTGGAATGAGTGAACAGCCTGTAAACACAGGTTGTATTGTCTTCTCTGTTACCAGAAAACACATGCACACAATTTTTATTATCTATTTGTTCATCTTATGCTTTAAAAAAAATCCAAACATGACCTTTGAGTTGTTGTTGTTGTTTGCTTAGTTGATGAATTTCTCATATATCACCTAATACTTCAGGTGTATTTTAGTGATCATAATTCAATATCTTGAATGTGTCTGTTATGAGATGAAAGTTTTGATCTCATTTGTCAAGTGTTACACAATTTTTAAAGTTTAATAAACTTTTTCAATCATTTCAGATCCTGCTGGGTATCCAAGATTTGCTTAATGAACCAAATATCAAGGATCCTGCTCAAGCCGAAGCTTATACTATTTATTGGTAAGGTGGTTTCTGTTTTTCTATTTTAATTTTCAAATGACAAACTTCCTTACATATTGTTCTTAATCAGTGGGGTATACATAATATATGGTTCATTCATCCTAGAAAAGCAAGATGTCATATTGGAAACACATTATCAGAATCACATATATGGACTTATGGTACATGTGAGGTTCTGAAACTTGTACACTTAACTGGCATCCTAGTTTCTTGTCAAACTAAAAATTTATGTATCTTTAAAATATACATTTTAAAACATAGATAATACATAAACCACTAAAATAAAATGTCCCAAAATAACTATAAATCAACAGGTTTTCTAACTAGGCTATAGATGGGATAAACAAAATTTGTTATGCTGTCATTTGCTTACAACACACGTATCAGTCACTTCCTCTCGACTAACATTTGTTGCCACCAAATTCAAAAGGATGGGTGCAATCTTGAAATAGAAAATATGCTCTTTGTGTTGGTTACAAACGTGTGTCAAATATGATCACATGCTTAGGGCTAGATGGGTGGGACTTCTGTCATTGGCTGAGAAAATTTACTGATATCTCACTAACTGGAAATTTAGAACATTGAAATTGTACATTTGACCTTGTATTATTTATAGATTATGTTTACATTAATTAAGCAGTGCAGATGATGTATTATTGAAGTCATACAAACTGAAAGGGGAGAATTGAGAACACAAAAGTGAAGATTGATATTTTTTAAATATTTACTTATGGAATTAAGAACTTACAACTTACGTAATATAAAAATTTTAATTATGAACTACATTTTGATGCTAGTCTTCTGTATGGATTTGATAAAATTGTTTAAATTTTGAATGTAACATCAATCCATGCACAAATTAGTCATAATGTATTTAAAGGTTTAAACGTTATATCAAACTTCATTCTAGCTAAACAATAATACATATTTCTAGAAACATATTGATTAAAAACATATCCTACATTTCTAACCCATTTTTTGATTGTGAAATCCCTTAAGTAGTCCTATTACACAGAAAAATAATTGGTAATACAGTAACTCTTGGCAACTATGTATATAAACATGACAATCATTAAATCATTACTGAAGTGTGTAAGTGGAAGGTACAATAACAATTTTCGTTAAGAAAGATATTTCTTTCTATACTTAATCGTTGTCCATAAAATGTCCAGACATAAACATGAAACAAGTGTGGTAGTGGTGTTTTAACTGAGGTAATAAAGAAATCTAGAACCAACAGATGTAAACATAAAACCAGCATAATGGTGGTGCCTTAAAGAAACTTAGTCTATCACACTCAAATATATATATATATATATATAATATAAAGTCAAAAATTTGTGTGTTTCTGTCTGTATGTCTGATATCTAACTGCTTCTAGATCACTCGGCCAATCTAAACCAAACTTTGTGGGATGATAATTAGGAAGAAGGGGTATGTTAATGGAGAGTTAACGACCCCTTCCACCCACATTATTGCTGTTATTGTGCAGTTATTATCTTTGACATAAAGTTATGTTAAGTACTTTCGTAGATGGTGTCCTTACACTAAAAAAAGAAACTTTTTAAATTTTCTATAGTACAACATACACACAGTGTGGGGAGAAGCCACACAAACATCTTATATATCTCAGACAATGTGCTAGCACCCTCCATGGAGAAATGCAGTGAAAAAAAATGGCCACCACTGTTGCAATAATAGATAACTTAACTCAAGTTTCTACTCCAACGAACACAATAAGGCTGATATGAAGAGCTGTTTCTTGAGTTATACCCACTTCCTACTTTGGCCCATAAGACACTTCTTCTGCCAATGACCATCAATTAAGTAATCACATGAAACACTGTGGAAAGATATTAAGAGCTGGGTGTTGAAAGCGGGTAACATAAAGCACACCTACTGCCACTACTTTGGCTGATACCTCTTTCTATTAAGTCACCTAGACCATTGCACAGTGTATACCATGTTTTAAGTATTTTAAATATTGAGTTCTTAAAGCTTATAAAAAAACGTTTGATGAGGTAATAATGAACTCTGTAATATGTTATGTTATAAATAAATTGTGTGAAAGTTAGGATTTTTGTTTTATTTATCAAAGCACATTTTTATTAGATCATAACCTGGACAAAGAACGGGTACCTCATTTTGTTTGAAATAAGTATCAAGAATGTTATTTTTCTTTCGGTAGTTACTCAACCTTAGTATGAGTGAGTAATTTTATCTTAGGGCAGGTAATGACATTAAACTGTAATATTTTAAGGTTTTTTAAGTCTCTTAAAGTGTATCTTAACCTTCTGTAGTTAGTAGTTCTAGATACTGATCATATTTTATGTAAATTTACTTGTTCTTTTATTATCTGATCTTGCTAGTTGCTAACTATATAGATTCATGATTAAGTACAGTAAAATAATAGGTTCATCAAGGTGATTTGTGGCAACTGAAATGTCAAATAAAGAATACATTTGTTATGTAAATTTAACTGTTTTTTTATGATCTGATCTTACTAGTTGCTAGCTATATAAACTCATGATTAAGTACAGTAAAATAATAGGTTCGTCAAGATGATTTGTGGCAACTGAAATGTCAAATAAAGAATACATTTGTTACTCTGCTGTAGAATTATCGATAAATTTTAGAAATCATGATTTATTAGATTGAAATGAAATCTGGATAGAGGCATAAGCAAGTTTATGTATAAGCTTTTTTGGCACAGTATTACAACAGAAGTGCATTTACAAATGCTTAATTATTTGTGCTAGTTAATAGTTTTTATTTGGTATTTAGTCAGAACAGATTAGAATACGAGAAGAGGGTTCGAGCACAAGCTAAGGCTATGGCTCCACAGGAGTAGAGAATGGAAACACAAGATTTCTTTATTGTTGGAAATGGAACAGAATATTACTTGTCTTAAATATGTTCCAGTATCACTTATTTACGATTGTTTGTGAAATAAAAAAATGTCGATTTTACTAAAATTCTTTGTATAAATCTCACACATGTTTTCATAGTTAACCCCATATTGTGATATTGAATTTTATTTGTATTCATTATTTTATTGTATCAAACTTCTGTGTGTGTGTTTTTTTTTTACAAATAAAAATCATAAAATTCACAGTGCATGTAATTTAAACTCTGTGTGCTGTGGGAAAATGTACAATGAAAAACTTTCAGTTCTAACAGCTTCGTAGTTTTCTACCCTAAGTGTATTGATTTGTTTAAAAACTTAGAATAGCATACATTTGCTTTTTTATATCTTAAAAATATGTGTAGGTTGTTTAGTCATTTGTTTAATGTTATTGTCAAGTGCTTTCTGTTGTTTGTGTGTTGGTTTGTATATATAAATAGTTATTTGTATTCAATTTTAATATCTGTGTGTTTTAGGTGGAAAATAAAAGTTTCCTTTTCCAGTAAAAGTTTTTGCTGTGATTTTTATGGTTATGCTGGTTTATAGTGAACACTGAACAGTATCACAAGCACTGTGTTTTGTGGGAAAAATCTGAGTTAGTATCAGTAATGTTGACAAAGTGGACCAAAGATATATTTTATAATAATAAAAAAAGTTAAAAATGCGTTTTTTTCCAAAAAGTCTATTAAAAGATGAGAATAATCTCATATGATGCTTGATATTGTAAATAACTGATTCCTCACATTGTCTTTAAAATGTTATATGTTACTCTGTTGTAACGGAATAAACCAAAAGGCCGCTACAACCGAGGTTAAAACAATTTAACAGAAATTCAAAGTAAAACTTTCAAACAACTAGAATACAATTTTTATCACTTACAACAAAAAACAATCAATCCATGCCTGGCCAGGACTAGGTATAAATGTTAATATATAGTACAACATAAAGTTCAGTGTTATTAATTTCAATAAATATCAAAGGAATTAGGAAAAGAACCAGAATAAGAAGAAAAAGATCACCAAAAAATAACACCATATTTCAAAATTAAACCACTTTTCAAGATCAACAACACTTCAAACTATATCTCGTGAACTAACTGGTTTAAGTTCAAGAAATGATTTTTATTTAGTGGTTGGTTAGACCACGAGATTATATCTCACGTGACTATCTATTACCATAAATCTACACAATCTTTCACAACATTAATATCTGTACGTCACCTCTAGAGCAAGCTTGTATTAGTTTCATAATAAGTACATACTCAAAATATACGTGCTCTAGCTATAACTAAAAATTTATAGTTGAATTGAACGAAAGAAGGAATAATAAATGATCAGTAAACAAAAGTAGAATTTTCTATCTCATATTGTCATTCGTACATTATGACTTAATTCACAAATTTTGTAATTCTACTCCAAATTATATATTTTTTTATAATTAATAACGCATTTTTCTTAATGTAAAAATTTCATAATTATGTATAATACATTTGTAACGATTTTTTTTTGAACCATTTATAAAAGTATGTAATTTTATCTATTTAATGATGAATAATTTTAGTTGAGATGAAAATTATACTTCCTTTAGTAAAGTTTTCTTGGTTAAGAACAAAAATCGATGGCTCTGAAGATTATTATTATTTACTTACATTCAGATTGTTAATGTGAACAATATACCAGATGAAGAAATGTTTTAAAGTACACCATTCCATTTCTTAATTGACTGATCACAAGACAAGAAGCTTTTGGAGGGTATTTCTTCCCTGTTGAGGATAGAGTAGAAAAGTTAGTGATCTACAATGGCGTCAGGGTTATCTATAGCAGAAGCATTTGGTTTAGTTTTCAGAGGGAATGAGGTAAAAAAGACTGGAACCGGGAGTGTGAGTAACATAATTAGTAATAGATGTACGTAGACAGGGTCCCCGAAAATGTTCTGTTTCAAGAATAAATATAATCAAAATTAAGTTCATATACCATGCTGCATTGTAGCCTACAGAGTGCATGATTCTTCTCGTGATTCATGGCATGTGCACGTCACGACCGTACAAATTGCAATGTTAAACATCTCTTATGTGATGTCATTTTAATGTCTGTTGACTGAATGACAGACTAACAACACACTACTGTATTGCGGTGTGAGTGGTTTAAAAACAGGCGGCCTTCAGCCCCTTTCGGGGAAAATAGGAGGAGGCGAAAATCTTGAAAAATGGGTTTCAAAAATCAAGTATCCAAATAAAGTATGAGTATCAACATGGGTTAGAAATACTTTAAGTAAAACGAGCTAAAAACACAGTATTGTTAATATACACCTGGAAAAAATTTAAGCACCCCCAAATATTTTTCAGGATTGCTTATTGAAAATAAGGTTTAATT